AAATAAAAAAAACTAAAAATACCACATTTTAAAAAAATATTACGAAAGATACCATACCCCTTTTTTTGGTGAAAAAATACTACCGTAGTATTAAAAATACTACGTCTGGCAACCCTGAGTCCCGAGCTTGCAGCGTTCCCTAGTGTAGAAAACACCATCCATAAAAAGTTTTTGTTTTTCAATAATATCATTGATTGGATATGAATTTTTTGAGTGCTTAAAAATTTTTGTAAAGTGCTTGAAAAGTTTTTAAAAAGTGCTTATTTTTTATTCAAAGATATGGCTACGCACCCTGATATATATACCGTAATTTCGCGGAGATAGGCCGCAGCGTTATTGATTTAAAACTTGAAAATTTAGTAGGAAGGCGTATCTAACGGGGCGGCCTATATAGTATTACTTTTTTTTTTCCTTCAAAAAATTTTGCTTTTTAGAAACCCCACTGGAAATTTCATCATCATTTTTTCCACCTGTTACTGTGCTTTTTATTTTTTCATGCTTAATGTTACTCCAAGGAATGGTCAGCATACCTGGAATTTTCCCTCCCTAATCCTTTTTTGGACTCACTTCCTGGAGACCACTATCTACAAGAGAAGGAAGTCTCTCTTTCCCTTCTGCCATATGAGCAGCTGTAGAGTATAAGAAATGGGCGTGGAGAGAGAATGTTGTCTGAAAGAACAGAGAAATGTCTTGTCTCTGACAATCTTAAAATAAATTTAAATAAGAAGGAAGTGTTTAAACTGTCTATGGCTCACAATTTTAAAAAATGTTGAAAAAAGTAGGAAATTTAATGACCATTTAAATTATAAATTAACAAAGGAAAGCAAGCTAAATATTAACTTTCAAACAGAAATAAAAGCTAATCATTAAAGTAAGCTATGCAATTAATAGTTATAAAAACAGATTAACAAAGGATAACTAACAGAAAAATAAGCTAACAATTAATAATTAGCAGAAAAACTAATTAATAAGAAATCGCAAAAAAAATAACAATTTAAAAAACAGAACAGTTAATAACTATAGAAAACAAGCTAACAATTAAAATCTAGCAAAAAAAATAAATAGCTGTTACTAACTAATGAAAAATTTGTCGGAAGAAATAATTAATCCCTTAATAAACATGCTTTTGTAGTACATATTATTTTATTTCGCATTCAAAATTATTATCACAAACTATTTAACACAGTGTATTATAGGTAAGTAAACAACTTTTAAACTAATTTTTTTCATTGCGTGCCGTCAAATTTCGAAATTGTTAAAAGTGTACCGCCACAAAAAAAAAGGTTGAGAATCACTGATCTAGAATATGCAAAAATAATAGGTATTATGGCAACAGACATGCCAATCTTTAGGATATTTAACCAAAAATGTGTTAACTAATAATGCTAAAAAAGTATGAAAAACATTTATTTAATAAAGAAGTTTATTTGCTTTTGTATTTATAAAAATTATACTCTCATGTAATGAAAAGGTGTTGTTTCTCTTTCCAGTTTTCAAGTGACACCAAATTTTAAAAATGATCCTGTTTTGATTGAATGACAGGAGTTTTTTTTTTTTTTTTTTAAATAATTCTAACTAGGAATGAATAATTTAAATAATTCTAACTAGGATGCTAGGAAGGAAAAACTGTTAGAATTAAAGCACTGGAATATTGTATATAATTTGCAAATATGTGTGAACTCTGTGAACTTGTTTGCTTTAGTTTAAGTTTTAAATCGAGAAATGCATTTATAAATTTTAATTATAAAATATATTTTTATAAAAGTGTGTTCTATATGTTTATAAATTTTTTTTTTGTATCATTTTCCAGCTTATGTTGAACATTGTCTTTACAAACTATTTTAGAATTTAGCAGCCGTGCCTTTCACGATTGGAAAACTTATGGTGAAATGAGGAGCTTAGCTTCACATAAGTATCGCTTAGAAACTGTCGAAGCCCGTCTTCCTAGTCAAAATTTAGAACTGGTTTGTTTTAAAGTTTCTACATTTTTTCTGCTTCAATCATTATTTTAAGCTTAATGTTTCTCCATTTTTTAATAATTCTAATTTTAGGGTTTAAATGCTCTTGGAATTATGAAGAATATTCATTTATTTGTATCAATATATATGTGTATATATATATATATATATATATACTTCTACAATCTCAATAATCAGATAAAGCTTCTTCACTATTTCACTGCACACATTCATTTGTTTATTCATCTTAATCTATAGATTAATTTAACATTTTCTTAAGAGTTTTTAAGAAGCTATAGCCATCATTATAACTCTATTTTACAAACATTTTTCTTATTGTTGTATTTTGCTCATTCTTAATACTTTTCTCAATGGTTATATGGTGTTAGTTTTTTCTTTTGTTAAAACACTTGGTAATTTATTACTGCAGGATCTGCTTATAAAGTTCTAATATTTAACAAGTTTCTGGATTTAATGTATAATCTTAAAATGTAGCATTTAAAGGTCAGCTACTTATCTGGGAATTATAAAAATCTGGCTGACGTCTAAAATTATGATAGTTAAAAAGGAACAGGAAGAGGCTTGGAATGGTTAACATGCTTGATATTTTTTTTAACATTCTTAGCACTGTATGCAAATAAGTTTTGTAAAGTGCAGATCATAAATAAAAACAAAAAATTAGAAATTGAGAACAAAATAAAGCTGTTGGAAGTTGCTGGTAAAAATTTATTTTATGTCATTTGTTTATATTTTGGTGGCATAAAATTTTTTGTTATATATTTTGTTTATCAAAATTATGTTTGTTTATTTCAAAGTCTCATTACCATTTAATTGAATTAACTATAATGTGATTAGATTTTATATTCTATGTTTATTATATTTCTTATTTTTTATGGATATTTGTTGAACGCTCAAGTAATAATAAGCATTTGAGTACTATAAATATTCGCCACATAGCCAATTCTGTATGTACTCATGGAATAGGTGTTATGAATACAACAGTAAGCGATTTAAATATTTTTTGATATGATATATTTTTTTTAAAATTAAAGTTGCATGATGTTATTGTTTAATTTTAGGTAAATTTTGTTTGCGAATTTCTGTGGAAAAAGTTTAAAATATTTTCCCAATTTCTTTATTTCTTATCAAACCAAGATTAATAAAGGGGAATTTTTTTTACTATTTTGCAATTACTATAAGAATGATCTAAAAAAATTGTACACAGGTAATAAATTAAATAATTA